GAATTTATCAGCCATCTGTTTGGAATCATAAAATCCTATTTCTATATTAGAAGAAACATCAGAGATCAACTTAATCTTCAGATTGAGTCACCAGACCAATCCACTGGGAGATCCTTTCATTCTCTCTGTTCTTAAAAATATTTAGATAGAAATTTTTGAGAAGGTTTAAGAGGTACTTTCCAAGCTAGAGATTTCTTTATAATTTTTACTTGTTACTTATTGAATTTTGTATTCTACTTTAAAGTATGTAGTACTGTTTATTTTAATATGAAAATGGCTGCCATCCCATTAATTAAAATTAGTGCTTTAGAATGACATGCCAGGGGCCGGCCTGTGGCTCACTCGGGAGAGTGCGGTGCTGATAACACCAAGGCCACGGGTTCAGATCCCATATAGGGATGCCCAGTTTGCTCACTGGCTGAGCGTGGTGCTGACAACACCGAGTCAAGGGTTAAGATCCCCTTACCGGCCATCTTTAAAAAAAAAAAAAAAAAAGAATGACATTCCACATTTTGTTCCCTGGCTTTTTGCACTCATTAATACAAAGCTAACCAATACCTTGGTTTGGGACATGCTTGTGAGTCCTTTTTTTTTTTTGTTTCTCCCTCCTTTTTAAACAGATGAAGAAGCAGTCCTTGAATGGGAAGGGACTTCCTGGAAGCTACATAGCTAGTTAGTGTCACAGCTGGGATCTGAACCCAAACTTCCTGATCCCCAGTTTAGAACTCTTGCTGGTATATCCTATTGTTTTAAATTTGTATTCATGGGCCGGCCTGGTGGCGCACTGCTACAGGGCGGCGCTCTCGCCGAGGGTTCGGATCCCACATACAGACCGGTTCCCGCTCACTGGCTGAGTGAGGTGCGGGTGCAACACCGAGGGTTGCGATCCCGTTGCCGGTCCCGGACCGGTACGGGCGTGACACTGAGGGTTGCGATCCGTTGCCGGACACGAAAAAAGACAAAAATAAATAAATAAATAAATAAATAAAAATTTGTATTCAAATTTATTTATTTTAAACTATGACTAATTTGAGCATCACTCTACAAGCTAGTGTTATTTGAAATTTATTCAGTGTTTCCCCACCATCACCACCAAAAAAAAGTATTATATACTCAAATTAAGTTTGAGACATGCTACATGGAATTCCTCTTTGGAAAGTCACAATTCACATTAGTATACTGAAAGGATTCAAAGTCTTGCTTTGAAGAAATAAGTTAATTTTCTCGGCCCAGTGGTTTTTGTCTTTTGAGGAAAACACACTTTAATCTTTTACAACATTATAGTATACTGATTAACATGGAACAGAGTTGAGATACTAACCTTATAGGATCATACTAGCTTAACTTTCCAAACTGGCAGTGTAGATATAGCATCTGCGAGGGTACTGTACTTGTGGACCATAAATCTCAGGTAATAGAGAGGAAAAAGCAAGAGAAATAAGATTACTTAACCCTGGCTGAAACTAGATTTGTAAATGTACATACATCCTACATGTTTTTCTATATTGTTAGAATTCACCAAATATAGAACATCCAAATTTATCTCTGAATTATTTCCACTGTCATATTTTTTTAGATCACCTTTTTCCTTATGGCTCCAAAGTACCTCTTGGCTTGTCTTTTTCACTATTCAGTAGAATGCTGGGTCATTTTTAACCCATTTCCAAAGAAATTTTCTCCACTGGTAAAGTGATGGAGTAGATTACATATTGTCCATATCTCTCTATCAGGGGTAATACAACATTAGATGCAGGGTTTTTTTTTTTAATTCCAGAAATCATCTTGCATTGGAAGCAAATGCTCCTTTTTTCTGGATAGGCTATGTGTAGATGAAGATATTAATGGAATTATAGTATACAGCCATTTGAGTTATCTAGAAATAATGAGCCAACATGTTAACAAAATGTCAGGTACTATTTCATGTGCTTAACCTATATTAACTCATTTAATCCTCATAAACTTTTTGAGGTAGATAATATCATCTCTTTTTTACAGTCAGGAAACTGGTTAAGTAATTTGCCTTTGCCTTACAAAATTGGTAAGGGGTGGAATCACTTAAACCCAGGAATCTGGCACTGAAGATACTATTAACTGCTATACCATATTGCCCCTGTTGAAAATGATTTTAAATTGCTTGCGTTTTTCATCTTTTAAAGATTTAGAATCTTTTTTGCTTTCAAGTCTTATGTCCATTTAACAGTCAGAACCTACCTTGTGCTAATCCCTGTGCCTAGTGGCGGAGGATATAAAGAATAAGATGTGGCCCTTGACCACATGTAGCTAAAAAGGAGTTTATTTGTTTAGACTTAGAATCTTGCTAAAGAATAATTTTTTATTATTTTTAATATGTTAGATTTTTTATAATAATTTTTTTTTTTTTTTTTTTTTTTTTTTTTTTTTTTTTTTT